CCACAACCCCTGCTAATGGTACCTGTAATACCAGAGCCACAACCCCTGCTAATGGTACCTGTAATACCAGAGCCACAACCCCTGCTAATGGTACCTGTAATACCAGAGCCACAACCCCTGCTAATGGTACCTGTAATACCAGAGCCACGACCCTGCTAATGGTACCTGTAATACCAGAGCCACGACCCTGCTAATGGTACCTGTAATACCAGAGCCACGACCCTGCTAATGGTACCTGTAATACCAGAGCCACAACCCCTGCTAATGGTACCTGTAATACCAGAGCCACGACCCTGCTAATGGTGCCTGTAATACCAGAGCCACAACCCCTGCTAATGGTACCTGTAATACCAGAACCACGACCCTGCTAATGGTACCTGTAATACCAGAGCCACGACCCTACTAATGGTACCTGTAATACCAGAGCCACGACCCCTACTAATGGTACCTGTAATACCAGAGCCACGACCCTACTAATGGTACCTGTAATACCAGAACCACAACCCCTGCTAATGGTACCTGTAATACCAGAGCCACGACCCTGCTAATGGTACCTGTAATACCAGAGCCACGACCCTACTAATGGTACCTGTAATACCAGAGCCACGACCCTACTAATGGTACCTGTAATACCAGAGCCACGACCCTGCTAATGGTACCTGTAATACCAGAGCCACGAACCCTGCTAATGGTACCTGTAATACCAGAGCCACGACCCTACTAATGGTACCTGTAATACCAGAGCCACAACCCCTGCTAATGGTACCTGTAATACCAGAGCCACGACCCTACTAATGGTACCTGTAATACCAGAGCCACAACCCCTGCTAATGGTACCTGTAATACCAGAGCCACGACCCTACTAATGGTGCCTGTAATACCAGAGCCACAACCCCTGCTAATGGTACCTGTAATACCAGAGCCACGACCCTGCTAATGGTGCCTGTAATACCAGAGCCACAACCCCTGCTAATGGTACCTGTAATACCAGAACCACGACCCTGCTAATGGTACCTGTAATACCAGAGCCACGATCCCTGCTAATGGTGCCTGTAATACCAGAGCCACGATCCCTGCTAATGGTACCTGTAATACCAAACCCTCGGGGAAATGTGTGAAATGTCGGTTTACCTGTGTTTACCTGAGAGCCACTAACACTAGTGGCTTTGACGAAGACAGGAAGCCGGCGGCATGTCGAAGGCCCCCACCCCCATTTGAGTTGTTAAGCTTGAAACAGTTGCTCCTTGTTTGTGTTACATCTGACCTTCTGAAGAAGATATCTGGCTCAACATCCTCCAAATTGTTCAATATTTTAAGTTTCATTAAGATCCGTCCTGGCATGCCTGGTTTGCAGTGATGTTAGCCCTGTGGCCCTCGACCGTTCCTGATACGTGAGATAACTTAGCTCTGGAATGATTTTTGTTGCCCGATGTTTCACTTTATCAGGAGCAGCTATGTCCTTCTAAAGATGTGGTCTCAATGCTTGGATACAGTAATCCAAATGGGGCGCACAAGAGATTTATACAATTGAATCACTATCTTATTTTTCTTGAAGTCAATGGTAAGCTTGATTATTCCAAGTGATTGGTTACATTTTCTGACTGTTGCTCCTACCTGCTGTGTAACTTTCAGCGAGTGGTGGATTTTGACTCCACGGTCTATTTCTTCATCAATCTGCTATAATGCTATAATGTAATTTAAGTTTTGCCCCGAGGGGCGAGTTTATTGGGCAGCGCCGCTCATCCTGTGAGTGGACACACCGCCATACCAGCATGTACAGCACTCTCTAACAGGAAAAAACAGCCCTGGAGCACTATAAAGGGCAGGCAACGGTAGTGACGACTTACAAACGGTAGACAACGGTAGTGACGACATGCAAAGGACAGACAACGGTAGTGATGACATACAAAGGTCAGACAACGGTAGTAACGTATTACGTTGTTGTAGGTAAGGTGCGTACATCCCTTCCATACAACCAATCAAAACCCGTAGAGTGCTCGTACTTTGATCAGGAGATCACCCTGTACGCTTCCTGCTCTTGGTGAGGGGCTCAACGTCACACATTCAGGGGATGCAGCTCCAACACTGGCCTCCTCACGTGCACACACCCAATTCGAGCCGCTGTGACTCCCCACTCTCTCCTTATTTGGTATGACCTCCTCAATTCCCCTTTATTGAATTATAACTCTATACCACCCTGTCCACAGCTGTGGTGATTTCTCTTTCTCTCTTCTACTTTCTGGGAAGCTTCACTAGGACAAGGGCAAATACTGGAAAATTTATATACATTTACTAAGGCAATGAGCATGTACGACACATATACAAAAATAATAATATGACTCCAATACTCTATACTATTATAGTCAGGTTGCAATCCAATACCATCAGGACTCTATCAGCCGCTTATACCAAGTGGTAGCCCAACTCCTGGCTCGCCACTTATGCTACCAACCTCACCTAGTGGGTTAAATCTTGTAATGCAATACAGCACTATTAGCCCTAGAATATATATAAATAAATATACACAAGGAACCCAGCCCATGGCTGCAACAACATAAACATCAGTATAAATATTCCTTGATACAAACGTCCAATCACTCACCTTCCACTGCGTCATACACGCTAATGACAAACACTCTATCAACCCTCTATAAGTAATCAATAAGAATCTCCTCTCTGCATCCATAGGTTCACTACCCTGAACACTTCAGGTTCTCACAGAATTGTCTACCAAGGTCTTCCACAGCTCTCCCGGCTGCTACACCACGAAGTCTTCCTTAAACAACAATGGCGCTTCACCACAGGTATCACAAAGGCACGTAAAACTGTACTCCACTGCTGTCTTTTCACAACTTGAGGTCCTACTCCTCCTATGGGGCTGCTCTTCCATAGAGCTCAGTATTTCTTCAATAGCCTTGGAGTTCCATCCACTGACTCCTCCTCTACTGGCCTCGAAGTTCTCTCAGCAACTCCTTTCCCCAGACAAACCTGCAACCCATTGACACGCCTATAAAAATGTTTCCCTATAAACAAATAACTAAAATAAACTACACACTAAATGTCTTCATCGACATCTTTCTGCTTCCCACATGCTGCGAGGGGACTCCCCTACGCTTGGGCTGGTCCATCCTCCACCAGGCCGGTCTCCTCTCTCTTGAGGCAGCCGGCGGCTGGTCCTGTTAGTTGCCATAAGGAGCTCGGCGAGGAAGGACACGCTGCTCGTTCCTCCAGCTGGCTTCCTCGTCTTAACTCCTTATTTAGGCTCTCTGCCTTAATAAAATATGCCTAACACATCTATAAACATCTACTACGGTATCTGGGCACACGACCAACAACAGGCAATCACTGTTAACTGGTTAAAATGAGCTTACCACAGAATCTGATCCGCTCGTGGCGCTCACTGACAGAGCGGTCACCACCAGGGCGCTCTCAGCTGCCCACAAAACTGCTCCACACTCTCCCTGCAGTCCACAACTTGAGCTGACACATCCAGACTTATTCCTCATATCGAGACGTCTGTCCACTTCCTTCTTCTTGAAGGTATATCACTCAGGGGTTCTTCCTCACCAGGGGCTGGAACGGAGGACGACCTCCACTCACGATTTCTTCAGCTCAAATGGCGTCAAGACCTTCTGAATGCGAACCTCACGCCTCCAGCAAACTCTCTATATCTCATGTCAAGTCCTTTATATATATTCTTGTTCACTGCTCATACTTTTAAACTACTCATCAAATTCAATCGAGTGTTTACTATATACATTTACAGGTTTATATTTCTTTGACCTCTTAGTTAGGTCAGGTCTGACAGAATAACTCTCAGGAGGCAGACTCGTTATTCCTGCAGCCTACGATCATAATCGACGACATACAAAGGTCAGAAAACGGTAGTGACGACTAACAAAAATGTAGACAACGGCAGTGACGACATACAAAAGGTCAAACAACGGAAGTGACGACAAACAAAGGGTAGATAACGGTAGTGACGACATACAAAAGATCAAGCAACGGAAACGACGACAAACAAAGGGAAGATAACGGAAGTAACGACATACAGAGGACAGACAACGGTAGAGACGAAATACAACGGTAGAGACGACAGACAACGGTAGTGACGACAAAGGACAGACAACGGCAGTGACGACATACAAAGGTCAGACAACGGAAGTGAAGACATACAACAGGTAGACAACGGCAGTGACGACATATAAAGGGCAGACAATGGCAGTGACGACATACAGAGGTCAGATAACGGTAGTGACGACAAACAAAGGACAGACAACAGTAGAGACGATATACAAAGGTCAGACAACGGTAGTGATGACATACAAAGGGTAGCCAACAGTAGTGACGACATAAAAAGGTCAGACAATGGTAATGAAGACATGCAAAGGGTAGACAACGGTAGTGACGACATACAAAGGTCAGACAACGTTAGTTGCGACATACAAACGGCAGTGGCGACATGAAAAGAACTGACAACAGAAGTGATGATATACAAAAGGTCAGACAATGACGACATACAAAGGTCACACAACGGTAGTGACGTCATGAAAAGGACAGACAACGGTAATGACGACATGAAAAGGACAGACAACAGTAATGACGACATACAAAGGTCAGACAACGGTAGTGACGTCATGAAAAGGACAGACAACGGTAATGGCGACATGAGAAGGACAGACAACGGTAATGACATACAAAGGTCAGAAAACGGCAAAGAAGACATACAACGGTCAGACAACGGCAGTGACGACATACAAAGGTCAGACAACGGCACTGACGGGATACAAAGAACATACAACAGTAGTGACGACATACAAAGGAAAGACAACGGTTGTAACGACATAAAAAGAACAGACAACGGTAGTGACGACATTCAAAGGTAAGACAACGGTAGTGACGAGATACAAAGGTCAGACAACGGTAGTGACAGCGTACAAAGATCAGACAACAGTAAGGCCGGCATACAAAGGGTACACAACGGTAGTGACAACGTACAAATGGTAGACAACGGTAGTGACGACATGCAAAGGGTAGACAACTGTAGTGACGACATACAAAGGTCAGAGAAAGGTAGTGACGGCGTACAAAAGTCAGACAACGGTAGAGACGACATACAAAGGTCAGACAACGGTAATGACGACATACAAAGGTAAGACAACGGTAGTGACGACATACAAAGGGTAGACATCGGTAATGAAATAAGAAGGGTAAACAACGGTAGTGACAACAAACGAAGGTCAGAGAACGGCAGAGACGACATCGAAAGGTCAGAAAACGGTAGTGATAGCAAACAAAGGTCAGACATGGGTAGGGATGGCATACAAACGTCAGACAACGGTAGTGACGACATACAAAGTGTAGATAACAGTAGTGACGACATACAAAGGTCAGACAACGGTGGTGACGACATACAATGGTAAGACAGCTGTAGTGACGGCATACAAAGGTCAGACAACGGTAGTGACGACATACAAAGGTCAAACATCGGTAGTGACGTCATACAAAGGTCAGACAAAGATAGTGACGAAATACAAAGGGGTAGAGAACAGTAGTGACGACACACAAAGGTCAGACAACGGTGGTGACGACATACAATGGTAAGACAGCGGTAGTGACGGCATACAAAGGTCAGACAACGGTAGTGACGACATACAAAGGTCAAACATCGGTAGTGACGTCATACAAAGGTCAGACAAAGATAGTGACGAAATACAAAGGGGCAGAGAACGGTAGTGACGGTATACAAAGGTCAGACAAGGGTAGTGACGACATACAAAGGTCAGCCATCGGTACTGACGTCATACAAAGGTCAGACAGCGGTAGTGACGACATACAAAGGGAAGACAACGGTAGTGACGTCATACAAAGGTCAGACAATGGTAGTGACAACATACAACGGTCAGACAACGGTAGTGACGGCATACAAAGGTCAGACAACGGTAGTGACGGCATACAAAGGTTAGACAACGGTAATGACGACATACAAAGGACAGACAACGGTAGTGACGAGATACAAACGTCAGACAACGGTAGTGCCAGCATACAAAGGTCAGACAACGGTAGTGACGACTTACAAAGGTCGAACAACGGTAGTGACGACACACAAAGGGTAGACAACGGTACTGACTACATTCAAAGAGTAGACAACGGAAGTGACGACATACAAATGTCAGACAACGGTAGTGATGACATACAAAGGTCAGACAACGGTAGTGACGACGTACAAAGAGTAGACAACGGTACTGACTACATACAAAGTGTAGACAACGGAAGTGACGACATACAAATGTCAGACAACGGTAGTGACGATATACAAAGGTCAGACAACGGTAGTGATGACATACAAAGAGTAGACAACGGAAGTGACTACATTCAAATGTCAGACAATTGTAGTGACGACATACAAAGGTCAGACGACGGTAATGACGACATACAAAGAGTAGACAACGGTAGTGACGAGATACAAACGTCAGACAACGGTAGTGCCAGCATACAAAGGTCAGACAACGGTAGTGACGACTTACAAAGGTCGAACAACGGTAGTGACGACATACAAAGGGTAGACAACGGTACTGACTACATTCAAAGAGTAGACAACGGAAGTGACGACATACAACTATCAGACGACGGTAGTGACGACATACAAAGGACAGACAACGGAAGTGATGACAAACAAACGTCAGACAACGGTAATGATGGCATACAAAGGTCAGACAACGGTAGTGACGACATGAAAAGGACAGACAACGTTAGCGAGGACATTCAAAGGTCAGACAACGATAGTGAGGGCATAGAAGGTCAGACAACGGTAGTGAGGGTATAGAAGGTCAGACAACAGAAGTGACGACCTTCAAAGGTAAGACAACGGTAATGACGACATACAAAGATCAGACAACGGTAGTGATGACATACAAAGGTCAAACAACGGTAGTGAGAACATACAAAGGGTAGACAAAGGTAGCAACGACATACATACGGAAGACAGCGGTAGTGACGACATACAAAGGTCAGACAAAGGTAGTGACGACATATATTGGTCAGACATCGGTAGTGACGGCATACAAAGGTCAGACAACGTTAGTGACGACATGCAAAGGTCAGACAATGGTAGTGAAGACATACAAAGGTCAGATAACGTTAGTGATGACATACAAAGGTCAGACAACGGTAGTGACGATAGATAAAGGTCAGACAACGGTAGTGACGACATTCAAAGGTCAGACAACTTTAGTGATGACATACAAAGGTCAGACAACGGTGTTGATGACATACAAAGGTCAGACAACGGTAGTGATGACATACAAAGGTCAGACAACGGTAGTGACGACATACAAATGGCAGACAGCCGTAGTGACGATATACAAAGGTCAGACAACGTTAGTGACGACATACAAAGGTCAGACAACGGTAGTGAAGACATACAAAGGTCAGATAACGTTAGTGATGACATACAAAGGTCAGACAACGGTAGTGACGACATTCAAAGATCAGACAACTCTAGTGATGACATACAAAGGTCAGACAACGGTGTTGATGACATACAAAGGTCAGAGAACGGTAGTGACGACATACAAAGGTCAGACAACGGAAGTGATGACATATAAAGGTCAGACAACGGTAGTGAAGATATTCAAAGGCTAGACAATGGTAGTGATGACATACAAGAGGTATACAACGGTAGTGACTACATACAAAGATCAGACAACGGTGATGACGACATTCAAAGGTCAGACAACGGTTGTGATGACATACATAGTTCAGACAACGGTAGCGTCGACATGAAAAAGACAGACAACGGTAGTGACAACCTACAAAGGTCAAACAACGGCAGTGATGACATAAAAAGGAGAGACAACGGTAGTGACGACATACAAAGGTCAGATAACGTTAGTGATGACATACAAAGGTCATACAACGATAGTGACGATATACAAAGGTCAGACAACGGTAGTGACGACATTCAAAGGTCAGACAACGTTAGTGATGACATACAAAGGTCAGACAACGGTGTTGACGACATATAAAAGTCAGACAACGGTAGTGACGTCATTCAAAGGCTAGACAACGGTAAGGACGACATACAAAGGTTAGACAACGGTAGTGATGAAATACAAAGGTCAGACAACGGTAGTGACTACATACAAACGGCAGACAGCCGTATTGACGACATACAAAGGTCAGACAACGGTAGTGATGACATACAAAGGTCAGACAACGGTAGTGAAGACATTCAAAGGTCAGACAACAGTAGTGACGACACAAAGGTCAGACAACGGTAGTGACGGCATACAAATGGTAGACAATGGTAGTGACGACGTACAAAGGGTAGACAACTGTAGTGATGACATACAAAGGTCAGACAATAGTAGTGACGACATACAAAGGTTAGACAATGGTAGTGACGACACACACAGGTCAGACAACGGTAGTGACGGCATACAACGGGTAGACAACGGTAGTGACGACATTCAAATGGTATAGAATGATAGTGATGGCATACAAAGGTCAGACAACGGTAGTGACGACATACAAATGGTAGACAACGGTAGTGACGACATACAAAGGTCAGACAACGGTAGTGACAACAAACAAAGGGTAGTGATGACATACAAAGGTCAGGCAATATTGGTGATGACACACAAAGGTCAGACAACGGTAGTGATGACATACAAAGGTCAGACAACGGTAGTGACGACATACAAAGGGTAGACAACAGTAGTGAAGACAAACAAAGGACAGACAACGGTAGTGACGACACACAAAGGTCAGACAACGGTAGTGACGGCATACAACGGGTTGACAACGGTAGTGACGACATACAAATGGTGTAGAATAGTAGTGATGACATACAAAGGTCAGACAACGGTAGTGACGACATACAAATGGTAGAGAACGGTAGTGACGACATACAAATGGTAGAGAACGGTAGTGATGACATACAAAGGTCAGACAACGGTAGTGATTACATACAAAGGTCAGACAATAGTAGTGATGACACACAAAGGTCAGACAACGGTAGTGATGACATACAAAGTGTAGCCAACAGTAGTAACGACATAAAAAGGTCAGACAATGGTAATGAAAACATGTAAAGGGTAGACAATGGTAGTGACGACATACAAAGATCAGACAACGGTAGTGACGTCATACAAACAGCAGTGGCGACATGAAAAGGACTGACAACAGTAGTGATGACATACAAAGGTCAGACAATGACTACATACAAAGGTCAGACACCGGTAGTGACGTCATGAAAAGGACAGATAACGGTAATGACGACATGAAAATGTCAGACAACGGTAGTAACAACATACAAAGGTCAGAAAACGGTAGTGACGACATTCAAAGATAAGACAAAGGCAGTGACGACATACAAAGGTCTGTCAACGGTAGTGACGACATAGAAAGGTAAGACAACGGTAATGACGAAATAAGAAGGGTAGATAACGGTAGTGTTAACAAACAAAGGTCAGAGAACGGTAGAGACGACATCCAAAGGTAAGAAAACGGTAGTGACGGAATACAAAGGTCAGGCAACGGTAGTGACAGCATACAAAGGCCAGACAACGGTAGTGATGACATACAAAGGTTAGACATGGGTAGGGACGGCATACTAACGTCAGACAACGGTAGTGACGGCATACAATGGAAAGACAGCGGTAGTGATGGAATACAAAGGTCAGAGAACGGTAGTGACGCCATACAAAGGTCAGACAGCGGTAGTGACGTCATACAAAGGTTAGACAACGGTAATGACGAAATACAAAGGTTAGACAAAGTTAGTGACGACATACAAAGGTCAGACAACGGTAGTGACGACATACAAAGGTCAGACAACGGTCGTGACGACATACAAAGGTCAGACAACGGTAGTGACAACATACAAAGGTCAGACAACGGTAGTGACGACATACAAAGGGTAGAAAACGGTAGTGACGACATACAAAGGTTAGACAAAGTTAGTGACGACATACAAAGGTCAGACAACGGTAGTGACGACATACAAAGGTCAGACAACGGTCGTGACGACATACAAAGGTCAGACAACTGTAGTGACGACATACAAAGGTAAGGCAGCGGTAGTGATGGCATACAAAGGTCAGACAACGGTAGTAACGACATACAAAGGTCAGACATCGATAGTGACGTCATACAAAGGTTAGACAACGGTAGTGACGGCATACAAAGGTCAGACAGCAGTAGTGACGACATACAAAGGGTAGACAATGGTAGTGATGTCATACAAAGGTCATACAACGGTAGTAACAACATACAACGGTCAGACAACGGTAGTGACGGCATACAAAGGGTAGACAGTTGTAGTGACGTCATACGAACGGTACACAACGGTAGTGACGAGATGCAAAGGTCAGACAACGGTAGTGACGACATACGAAGGTCAGACAACTGTTGTGTCAGCATACAAAGGTCAGACAACGGTAGTGACGACATACAAAGGGTAGACAACGGTATTGACTACATACAAAGGTCAGACAACGGTAGATACGACATACAAAGGTCAGACAACGGTAGTGACGACATACAAAGAGTAGACAACTTAAGTGACGACATACAAATGTCAGACAACGGTAGATACGACATTCAAAGGTCAGACAACGGTAGATACGACATACAAAGAGTAGACAACGGAAGTGACGACATACAAAGGTCAGACAACGGAAGTGACGACATACAAATGTCAGACAACGGTAGTGACGACATACAAAAAGTAGACAACGGAAGTGACGACATACAAATGTCAGACAACTGTAGTGACGACATACAAAGGTCAGAGAACAGTAGCGACGACATACGAAGGTCAGACAACGGTAGTGACGACACACAAAGGTCAAACATCGGTAGCAAAGGCATACAAGGGGTAGACAACGGTAGTGATGGCATACAAAGGCCTGACAACGGTAATGACGACATACAAAGGTCAGACAACGGTAGTGACGGCATACAAATGTCAGACAACGGTAGTGACGGCATACAAAGGGTAGACAACGGTAGTGACGACGTACAAAGGTCAGACAACGGTAGTGACGACATACAACGGGTAGACAACGGTAGTTACGACAAACAAAGGGTAGACAACGGTAGTGACGGCATACAAAGGGTAGACAACGGGAGTAACGACGTACAAAGGTCAGACAACGGTAGTGACGGCATACAAATGTCAGACAACGGTAGTGACGACATACAAAGGTCAGACAACGGTAGTGACGACATACAAATGTCGGACAACAGTAGTGACGACATACAAAGGTCAGAAAACGGTAGTGACGACATACAAAGGTCAGATAACGGTAGTGACGGCATACAACGGGTAGACAACGGTAGTTACGGCATACAAAGGGTAGACAATGGTAGTTACGACATACAAAGGATCGACAACGGTAGTGACGACATACGAAGGTGAGACAACGATAGTGACGGAATGCAAACTACAGATAACGGTAGTGACGGCATACAACGGGTAGACAACGGTAGTTACGACATACAAAGGGTAGACAATGGTAGTTACGACATACAAAGGATCGACAACGGTAGTGACGACATACGAAGGTGAGACAACGATAGTGACGGAATGCAAACTACAGATAACGGTAGTAACGACACACAAACTACAGATAACGGTAGTAACGATACACAAACTACAGATAACGGTAGTAACGACACAAACTACAGATAACGGTAGTAACGACACAAACTACAGATAACGGTAGTAACGACACACAAACTACAGATAACGGTAGTAACGACACACAAACTACAGATAACGGTAGTAACGACACAAACTACAGATAACGGTAGTAACGACACAAATTACAGATAACGATAGTAACGACACAAACTACAGATAACGGTAGTAACGACACACAAAGGACAGACAGTAGTAGGGTTGGCGCCACACAGACGATATTTTTTTTTCAGGGAAAATATCGTCTGTGTGGCGCCAGGGTTTTCAGGTAAATTTAGAATATCCCCTGTGCGCCCCAAGGGTTTCAGGTAAGGGATGGCTCCACACAGGGGAATTTTTTTTTCTGGGAAAAAAAAGTACCTGTGCGCCCCAAGGGTTTCAGGTAAATTTAGAATATCCCCTGTGCGCCCCAAGGGTTTCAGGTAAATTTAGAATATCCCCTGTGCGCCCCAAGGGTTTCAGGTAAATTTAGAATATCCCCTGTGCGCCCCAAGGGTTTCAGGTAAATTTAGAAAATCGTGTATAGCGCTTGGGGGTTTTCAGGTAAATTTTGTCAGTCGCAGATTTTAGAAGTAAGGATTTCTTATGAGAAAAATAATTTCCGAGACTTAGAAGTTTGTTAAAGCCTTATGGGAGAAATTCAAATAACGTGTGTAGCACTTTAGGGCTTCCAGTAGAACTCTACGGACATATTTTACATGTTTTCAACTTACAAAATCGTCTATGTAAGCCTTAGTTATTCATATAAATTTAGAAAATCACCTGTGTAAGTCATTGTTTTCAGGGTTTCGTACATCACACCCCCCTCCCTCCCCCCCTTACCTCGCAATCTGTCGCCTCACCTGTGTTTACTTTACGCCCGGTCAGCCAGACCTCTTATCTTATGTTATCTTCTCATAATATCTGGACCGTCCCTCCTCTCTCTCTCTCTCTCCTTTCATTCAGTTCAACTATTTTCCAACATCGTATGTTTGCTCCTTTTCATTAAGCAAGTCAGTATGTTTGCTCCTTTTCATTAAGCAAGTCAGTTTTACACAAATAAATCATGTTAGTAAGCAAGTTCTAGCTCACGTTCCCCACCTTAGTCCCCTGTCGTATAATGAATACTATCATTCCAATCCCTCTAAAATTTAAAAATAATCATATTTCAAATGTAGTTCAATACAGTAATTTAGTTACCAAGCTCCAGCTCTTGTCCTCCGCCTTAGCTCTCTCTCGTATCTTCGTTAGTATCAGTCCAATTTCCCTGAAATTTCTACCCTCTGTATTTCAGACATAGTTTAGTAAATGCAAACAATTATCAAACTCTAGCTCTTGTCCCCAGCTTAGTTCATTTGTACAAAATCATTAGTAACAGTCCAAATTCCCTGAGATTTTTAGCCTCTGTATTTCAGACACCATAAATAAGATCAAAACAGTTACCAAGCTCCAGCTCTTGTCCTCCGCCTTAGTTCTCTTTCATATCTTTGTAAATAAACCACCAATTTCCCTGAAATTTCTACCCTCTGTATTTCAGACACCGTAAATAAAATCAAGTCAGTTATCGAGCTCCAGCTCTCGTCCCCGCCTTAGTTCTCCTTCGTATCTTTGTAAATAACCCATCAATTTCCCTAAAATTAAAAGCAGACATACTTCAAAGTTAGTAAATAAAATCAAGTCAGTTATCGAGCTCCAGCTCTCGTCCCTGCCTTAGTTCTCCTTCGTATCTTTGTAAATAACCCATCAATTTCCCTAAAATTAAAAGCAGACATACTTCAAAGTTAGTAAATAAGATCAAGTCAGTTACTGAGCTCCAGCTCTCGTCCCCCACCCTCTTCCACCCTCAAGTCTTTGTAAATAAACCATCAATTTCCCCGAAATTTTTACCCTCTGTATTTCAGACATAGTAAATATGAAGTAAACAATTATAAAACTCTAGCTCTTGTCCTCCGTCCAAGCTCACTTTTGTAAATTCATTACTATCAATCCAAATCCCCCTGAGATTTAAACGCCCAACTACATTTTCAGACATAGTAAATAAAAACCAGTTCAGTTATCAAGTTTCAACTCTTGTGCCCCAGCTTAGTTCATTTGTACAAGTTCTTTATTTTCCAACTAAATCACCCTGAGATTTAAGATCACCGTATTTCTAACGTAGTAAAATTAATCGGGGCATTAACCAAGCTCCATTCCCTCTGCCTTAGATCATCAGACATAAATATTTTCGATCAAGTCCGTCTCCAGCTTAACTCTTACCCTTTCCCTCCCTTACCTTCTCATCCCCAACTTATCCAAACCTTCAATAATCGTACTGTATTTGCATATTTTCTCTATATTCACTGTGTTCTTCGTATTCTCATCCGTGTTCACTCCATGTTCTTCAAAATGTTCACAGTCCCATTCAGTTCATATTTTCACAAGTATCTCCATTTTTTATGTAATCTTTCTCTTAGTCTCATTATGTTCTCTACAAATTCTAGTCATATTTTCTATGTTTTCATATTCATCACATGTTCTCTTTACAACTTTTATACTCAATATTCATGCTAACTTCCATATTTTGTGTTCTTTGTCAATATTCATGTTCTCAATGTTCTTAGCTTGTTCTTCACATGTTCAGTGTTCATTCTTTGTATTCCCTATGTTCCTTATCATGTTTTCATATTCTCTATAAGTTCATATTCCCTGCATGTTCACTCTATTCATCAACTGTTTCTTACATGTTTTCTGTGTTCACCGTATGTTCACTGTGTTCATTCCCTTACTTAACCTCAATTTTTTATGTTCTTTGTTTCTTCCATTCACTAACTAGTTCTTTGTCAAATAATATTATACTGCATTACAGTTCCCTCAACAATTTTAGTCACCAAGTTTTTATTTGCAAAACTATGTCAAAGTAATTCTCGTAGTCAACTTAATAGTTCTACCAACCCCGTTCTTAAACAAATCTACACTTTATTCAGTTCCAAATTTACAAAGACAAACCTTTCTTGTAACTTCTTAACTAAAAATCTTTCGCCAATCAACTGAAACATAGTCACTTTCCTCATTTCTCAACTAAACTTATTATCCAGTCAACTAAAAATAGTCAGAAATAGCCTCGTTCAACACTGTTCTTAACTAAAACAACCTTTCTCTTAGCTAAAAATTGTCAAAGGAAACTTTTTCAGCACTTTCTTAACAGGCGCTATGTTTCATCAAGAAAAATTGTCAAAGGAAACTTTCCAAAACTGTTCATAACTAGCTTTTATCCATCGTCAATCAACTAAAAATAATAACTTTCATCATTTCTTAACTAAACTTATTCCCCCAGTCATCAGAAAATAACAGTGTTCTTCATGTTTCATTGTCATTTCATAACTAAAATTAACCATCAATCAACAGAAAAAGCCATGTTCATCATGTTTTGTCTTTTTGCTTAACTAAAATTATGTTTTTTCAAGTAAGAAAAAATAACCAAAGATATCTTTCATAGCTGTTCTTAACTGACATTATACTTTGGGGAGCACAAAAATAGTCTCCCTCGTCATGTTTTATCTTTTCCTTAACTAAAGTATTCATCAGTCAACTAAAAAAATAGTTACTTCATCATGTTTCCTTGTCATTTCTTACTGAAATATCACTTCGCTCATTTAAAATAGTCATGTGTAACCTCTTTCCAACACTGTTCTAACTAAAGCAACCTTTCACATCGCTAAAATAGTTACTTCATCATGTTTCCTTGTCATTTCTTAACTGAAATATCACTTCTCTCATCTGAAATAGTCATGTGTAGCCTCTTTCCAACACTGTTCTTAACTAAAGTAGCCTTTCACTTCGCTAAAATAGTCATATTCATCGTTGTTCCTAACTAAAATATATGTCGTTAAGTAAGAAATATAGTCAAAAACACTCTTCCAGACATCAAGGACTCACTCTCGTTCATCAAAGTTGTTTCAAAGACATCAAAGTTATTCAAAGAGCTAACAAAAGTTATTCTCAGAGTCACCTTCGTTCTTCAGAGAAACTTTCCAAAACATCTTTATTCATCAAAGTTATTCTCAGAGGCATAAAAGTCATTCTCAGAGCTATCAAACTTGTTCTCAAAGTCATCAAACTTATTCACAGAGTCATCAAAGTTAATCTAAGACATCATTTTTCATCAAAGATATTCTCTCTAAACCGTCAATGTTCTTCTCTAAGACATAAAAGTTATTCTCAGAGTCACCTTCGTTCGTCAGAGAAACTTTCAAAACATCTTTGTTCATCAAACTTGTTTTCAAAGTCATCAAAAGTTAATCTAAGACATCTTCTTTCATCAAAGTTATTTTCAGAGACATCTAAAGTTATTCTCAGAGCTATCAAACTCGTTCTCAGAGTCATCAAATGTTATTCTCGAAGTCATCAAAGTTATTTTCAGAGACATCTAAAGTTAATTTCTATGTTATAAAGTTATTCTCAGAGACATCTAAAGTTAATCTTGGTCATCAAAGTTATTTTCAGAGACATCTAAAGTTAATTTCTATGTTATAAAGTTATTCTCAGAGACATCTAAAGTTAATCTTGGTCATCAAAGTTGTTCTCTAAACATCAATGTTGTTCTCCAAGACATCAAAGATGTTCTCAAAATCATAAAAGTTATTCCCAGAGCTATCAAAGTTAATCTCAGAGTTATCCAAAGATATTCTCATGTCCACAAAAGTTATTCCAAGAGACGTCAAAGTTGTTCTAAGAGTTATCAAAAGTTATTCTCAGTCATG